CATGAATAGGGTTATCGGCTAAATGTGGATAAGCAATATGACCTTGTTTGCCAATAATTTTGAGCTTGCCGCTTAACGAACCGCGCCGACCATTTTTAATCATATCGCCCAAAATCAGGCACAAAACGAAGCCACCGCAATAGATTTGATGTTACAACACACGAGCGTGATCAAACGCCCCGTTTTGGTTAATGATCAGGGTGTTGTTCTGGCCGTTGGTTTTGAAGAGGCGCATTATCAAGCGATTTTGCCAACTTTGATTAAATAATGAATAAATTGAATTTCTATGGATTATCAAAACCATGCTGTCTATCAGTTAGCCGCAGAGCTCATCTGCCGAGACTCGACAACACCCAATGATGCTGCTTGCCAACAGGTTATTGCTGCGCGTCTCGAAAAAATGGGGTTTACTTGTCAAACTTTGTACTTTGGTGAAGGCGATGCTTTGGTCGAAAATCTCTGGGCCTATAAAAAAGGGGCTGATCCGGCTGGCAAGGTACTCGTTTTTGCAGGGCATACCGATGTTGTTCCCACGGGTCCACTAGAGCAATGGACAACCCCGCCTTTTGTGCCGACCGTCAGAGATGAGCGGTTGTACGGACGAGGCGCAGCGGATATGAAATCCTCTTTAGCGGCATTTGTGGTGGCGAGTGAACAGTTTGTGTTGGCGTATCCGAATCACCAAGGAAGCATCGCTTTTTTATTGACGAGCGACGAAGAAGGCCCGTCTATTCATGGTACCGTTAAAGTGTGTGATTGGTTAGTTGAGAAAAATCAAAATCTTAATTATTGTATCGTTGGTGAACCCACTTCGGTGAAACAGATGGGCGATATGATTAAAAATGGTCGGCGCGGTTCGTTAAGCGGCAAGCTCAAAATTATTGGCAAACAAGGTCATATTGCTTATCCACATTTAGCCGATAACCCTATTCATGCGGTTGCTCCAGCTTTAGCTGAGTTAGCAAATACCGTTTGGGATCAGGGCAATGATTATTTTCCACCGACTACGTGGCAAATTTCAAATTTTCATAGTGGTACGGGGGCTGGAAATGTGATTCCTGGGCAAGCGACCATCGATTTTAATTTTCGATTTGCGTCGTGTTCTACGGCAGAAGATTTGCAAGCGAGGTTGTGTCGTGTCCTTGATCGATATAAATTAACTTATCAAATTGACTGGGTTTTAGGGGCCAAACCGTTTTTAACTGGAGAAGGCGAGCTCATTGGCGCGATGCGGGAGTCGATTCAAAAGCATTTAGGTGTGACCACCGAACTTTCGACAACAGGCGGCACATCAGATGGTCGTTTTATTGCTCAAATTTGCGAGCAAGTGGTTGAGTTTGGACCGATTAATGCGAGCATCCACCAAATTGACGAACATATTGCGTTAACTGATTTAATTAAACTTCCCGCTGTCTATCAAGGCGTACTGGAGTTGCTGATATGTTAACCGCAGAACACCTTTTGTTAGAGCCGCCTAGTCATTTGTTAACCTTAGGTGACTGGGTGAGATTTGCGAATAGTTTGTTTATTCGTGAAAAAATCGTTTATGGTCAGGGTACAGATAATGCCTATGATGAAGCTGTTTGGTTGGTGATGAGGACGTTAGCGCTCGATTTTGATCAGTTAGAACGCTTTTGGGATAATCGCTTGGCAGATGGGGAGCAGTATTATCTGTATGAATTATTAAAGAAAAGGGTGTTGAAACGTAAGCCGACTGCTTATTTGCTCAAAGAAGCGTGGTTAGCTGGGCAAACGTTTTATGTCGATGAGCGGGTCATTATTCCGCGTTCCTATTTAGCAGAACTCATGCACGAAGAAGCGTTGCTACCATGGCTACCTGAGCTAGATGAAGTGAGCAATGTGTTAGAGCTATGCACGGGGTCTGGGTGCTTGGCCATTATGGCTGCACAATACTATGGTCAGGCACTGGTCGATGCAGTAGATATTTCTGAAGAGGCGTTAGCTGTCGCAAAAATCAACGTCAATGATTATGATTTAACGGATCGAGTCATCTTGTTGCAAGGGGATTTATACGCGCCATTGTATGATCCAGCCTTACCACCCAGTCGTTTATATGATTTGATTTTGTGTAATCCGCCCTATGTTAACCATGAGAGCATGAATCATCTCCCACCAGAATTTTTGCACGAACCGCGTTTAGCCTTAGATGGTGGCGCAGACGGCATGGCACTGATTGATACGATACTCAGAAAGGCCAGTCATTTTCTGAAACCCGAAGGGATTCTAGTGATAGAATTAGGACATGAGCGGCACTTTTTTGAGATGAGGTATCCCAATTTAAATCCGGTTTGGTTGTCTTGCGCCCATCATGATGATGCGGTTTTGTTGCTCGATCAAGAAGCATTAAGTTCGTTAATCAATTAATTTTGTTGTTGATATTATGAGTCATTCCCGTTTAAAACCCATTCCGCGTCTCATTTTTATGAGTCGTTGGTTACAGTTGCCTCTGTATTTGGGCTTAATTGTCGCACAGATGGTGTATGTCTTTCATTTTTGGGTAGAGTTAGTCCATCTGGTGCAAGCAGCCTTTGGTGATCAACAGGCAATCAAGTTGGTGATTTGTGCGGTGCAGTCGGGCAATTCGATCTGTGCGCCCAATGCGCCACCGCCGTTGAGTCCCTTACACCTAACTGAAACCTTGATCATGCTGGTGGTGTTAGGCTTAATCGACGTAGTCATGATTTCGAATTTATTGATTATGGTGATTGTCGGCGGCTATGAGACGTTTGTTTCTAGAATGTATCTTGAGGAACACCCAGATCAGCCTGAATGGTTGTCCCATGTTAATGCAACTGTTCTCAAGGTGAAGTTAGCGACAGCCATTATTGGGATTTCGTCTGTCCATTTGTTAAAAACCTTCATTAATGCCGATTCAATGGAGACCAAAACCATTGTTGCACAAACCGTTATTCACGTCGTTTTCATTTTATCGGCAATGGCGATCGCTGCTACCGATTGGATTTTAACCAAAACAGCCCACCAAGCTGAAAAATCTTAAAGTTAGGAATATTATGAGTGATGTAATTATTACTGGAACAGGGCTTTTTACCCCCGAACAATCGATTTCTAACGAAGAGTTGGTTGTGGCGTTTAACGCTTATGTTCAGCGGTATAATGA